AGGTTTCCAAATACTTTTTATTTATTTATTTTTTTTTATTTTTTATTTTATTTTATTTTTTTTTAAATTTTTTTTTCAACGTTTTTATTTATTTATGGGACAGACAGAGACAGGCATGAGCAGGGAGGGGCAGAGAGAGAGGGAGACACAGGAACAGGCTCCAGGCTCGAACCCATCAACCCAGAGCGGAGCTCGAACTCACCGGACGATGAGATCGTGAGATCATTGACCTGGCTGGTGGACAGCCTCAACCGACTGCGCCACCCAGGCGCCCCTCCAAATACTTTTTAAAATAAATTGTTTTGTCCACTAATATCTTCTCAGCACCCAACACAGATGCTCATTATATGTTGCTTGAATGAATGCATGAATGAATGAATGAACATGTTTACTGGACTCCTATTTATTCTCTTTTTTTTTTCTTATTGATTTTTGTGAATTCTTTATATATTAAAGATGTCAACACTTTGCCACTTGCTGGGAATATTTTCCCTAGGCCTTTTGCCTTTTAATTTTGGTTATTTTTTGGTGAAAGGAGGAAGATGGAGAAGTTTTAAATTTTAATGTAAACAGATCTATTGATTTTTTCCTTTTGAGGTCTCTTCAAATGCATCTAAGTTTAGAAAGCCTTTACCTCTCAGGATATTTGATAAGTTCATTTCTATTTTCTATGCACACTGCTGTTAATTTAATCTTCCCATAGCAGGGCTCTGATCACGTCACTCCCCTGCTCAAAAATGTTTAACTGTCTCCTTGGAGCCTTTAGAATAAAGTCCAAACTCTTTAACTTGGCCTCTAACACTTTTCGTGATTCATTCCGAGACTGCCTGTGCAGTCTTTTCTCTAGTGTCCCCCAAATCAGCTTGAGCTCCAGCCAAAGGGAAGAGTTGGCTTCTCTCTGTGTGCCCTGCTCTGTCCCACCTCCAAGGCTTTGTTCCTGGCGTTCCTTGGCATAGAATGCCATCCTCCATTTTGTATATTTAAATCCCGCTTGTTCTTCAAGCCCTCTTTTCTCAAAAAAAGCCTCACCTTACCCTTTGAGAGGATAAATGGTAGAGGGATGAGAACATGAGCTTTTGGAGTTAGACAATGTGGATTAAAATCCTAATTTCTTGGGGCGCCTGGGTGGCTCAGCCGGAGAAGCATGCAACTGTTGATCTCAAGGTCTTGAGTTTGAGCCCGCACATTGAGTGCAGAGATTACTTAAACAAATAAATATACTTAAAAAAAAAAAAAAAAAAAAAAAAAAAAAAAAAAGAGTCCCTGCCTCATCCCACCATTTTGGAAGGGAGTGAGGTAGGGCCAACCCACCCCCTCTAGCCACATCTGCCTCTGAAAGTTTGGCTGGTTCTCGAATTCCATTAGGTGGCCGAGAACTTTCCTGCTCAGGTGCTGGGAGTGGCCAAACAGGTTCCACCTCCAGGAATCTAACCCAGGCCTCCAGGCACCTCGGTGGGACTCCCACACCCATCTGGGCTCAAAGGAATCCCCTCCCTCCTTTCTTCAAGTGAGCTCCAAAGGTTTTATTGCTGGGAAATATTTAAGTCTCCAAAGGGGTCCACTGGAACGTCCTGTTCCTTGTCATCAGCACCCACAATATGATGGTGTGGCAAGTAGAGCAAAGGTAACCTTTTCAATTTCAAAGTGAGCAAACTGAGGCTCAAACTACCTTCCATATAGTTGGGTCTAGGACTTGTGTGTCTTGTCAGCCTGATTCAAGGGGCTCTGGGAGGCCTGAGCAGCTGTGTTGGGGAATCTGGGAGACCTCTGGCCCCAGGGTGGGAGAAGGTGCGGGAATTCTGGCTACCAGAGCCTCCAGCCTTTGTCTGCAGTGGGTTAATGCTCTCAGAGGCTGGCAGCAAGCCTAGCGTCTGTGTGTTCTCTTTGTGAACCTTCAGTACCCCACTTGCGTAGGTTATCCTGTCTTTTTTATTTTTAATGTTTATTTATTTTTGAGAGAGAGAGAGAGAGAGAGAGAGAGACAGAATGCTAGTGGGGGAGGAACAGAGAGAGGGAGACACAGAGTCCAAAGCAGGCTCCAGGCTCTGAGCCATCAGCACAGAGCCTGATGCGGGGCTTGAACTCATGAGCGGTGAGACCATGACCTGAGCCAAAGTCAGACGCTTAACCGACTAAGCCACCCAGATGCCCCTTGTTTGTGTCCTTTAAGGAAGAGGAAGGATGACGATTCAGTGGCGGGGGTGTGTGTGTCTCTGGGGCTGGAGATGAGGGTGGGAACATGAAAATAATGAGAAGACTGAGCTTAGGTTCTGGAGCCCTGGGTTCTAGCTCTACACTCAGCATGCTGCATCACCTGGGATGGTCTACTCTCTCTGGACCCCAATCGTTCTATCTGTAAAATGGGGATAGTAGCAGATGGACCCATCTCTGTGGTGGAATCTTCGCAATCTTAGTGTTCTCAAAGTGCTCTCCTGGGCCTTGGCCCCTCCCCGAGCCCAGACTGTCTCCAGGGCCTGACCTCACCAGGTTGGCCCCACCAAATCTCTGACACCATTTGGCTGCCTCCACCCTCTGCTCTGTCCTCCTCTCGGGGGCCTGAGGCTCATTCCATCTCCCCACCGCACTGGGGCTGGCCAGCCAGTGGTCTTGGTCGGGTCTGGGCAGGGCGTTGGGGGGGGGGGGGCGGCGCTCCAGACTCATATTTGACCTCTTGAGCCTCTCTCTCTCTCCCTGGAGCCAGCATCCTCTCCCCGCCCCTCTTGAAATCTGAGCTCAGGGACCCAGGGAGGACTGTAGCTGCAAAACATTCCATCCAGTTGTCCAAACACTCAGCACAGCTGGCCGAGGGAGGGGCGGCCAGAGCCGAGCTCTCAGGGAGCCCTCGGGCTGTTGTTTTCCTGGGAATGGTGGAGTCCTCCCAAGGAGGGCCAGCCCTGGATGCCCCGAGGGGGTTCACAGCCGAGGATAAAGGTAGAGCTCCCAACACGCACACTCCAGGGCTTGCCCCAGGCCTCGCTTCCCAGTGCCCGGCTCCTGGTGGGGAAGATCCAGGTCCGCCTGGCCAGGTGCTGCGGGTGGCCTTGTGAGCATCCTCGTGATGGGGCCCAGGGCTCCTTGCGGGGGAAGGGCAGCGGGGATGATGAGCTAGCAAGCCCGGGAAGTGACTTCGGGGAGCAGCTTTTACTGGCAAGCAGTCCCCGGCTGCCTCTTGGCTCTGACTCACCAGTGACCCTGGACGAGCCTCCAAGTCAGTTTCCTCATCTGCAACAGCGGGGCCTGGGCCTCTTCTGGCTCCGATTTTTTTCTAAGTCACAGCCAAGGACAAGGCCCTTAAAGCTCCCCATGAAGTCCCAGCTATGCCTAAATGTCCAGAAGGTAACAGTTTTTTCTCTACAGCTCCCAAAGCGACTCTGACTCCGTTTCCTCCCCGAGGGGCTGGCTGGTGCTTAGCAGCGAGGGACTATCTCTTCTACACTTTGTCACCAGCCGGACTGAGCTCCTTTCCCTCCCGCCATGTTGGGGTGATGGAGAGACCCTCCCCCCCTCCCGCCTTTCCACACTTCCTGTTTTCCATTAATTGTTTCCAGGTGGGCCCAGAGGTTGCCCTGCAGAGGAAGGTGGGGGCACGAGAGAATTTAGCAGGGGATCCGTGAGGAGCAAAAACAGGAAGGGGGTGGGAGCAGGCCATGGAAAATTCACTGCCAGGAAAGGCAAGGCCAGCATCTGGTTTGCATTAGGCTGAGAGCATCGAAGCCCAGAGCCTGAGTAGGAGATATTGTTATCCGCGGGGCAGGGCTGGGGGGTGGGGGGTGTGACTGCTAGTCAGGAACTGGCGGCTTCTCCCCCACGGGGAGCTCAGAGGCTGACAGGAAAGAAGAGGGAAGGTGACGGAGAAAGGAGTAGAGAGAAATGAAACTCTCATTTCAAGGGTGGCAGACCCTTCACAGATGTTACCTTCTGTGATGTTCACAGAATGTCCTCACCGGGGACAATCGTGCCCGTTTCACAGATGAGGAAACTGAGTCCCAGAGAGGTGAGGTGATTTGCCCCAAGGCCACAGAGCCAAGGAACCGCAGGAGCAGGATTAGATTTCAAGCCAAATGAGACAGGGTGAAACACACAAACTATCTTGGGTAGACTGAGGCTGACCATGTCCCGGACAAGGGGGTCCTGAGGATTTGGTGGTGAGTGCGGGCCAGCCTCTGCCCACGGGGCCACTCATTTCTCATGGGGGTGTCTGACCGTTCCAATCGTCATGACACAAGGTGGACATCTGTCTGAGGGCTCCCCCCCTCCCATGCCACAGGGGAAGGCTTGCTGGCGGAGGGGGTATTCGCAAAAGAGATTTATCAGCAGTGGGTAGGATGTGCTGTAGGGGACATTGTGTGAGGAAAGCGGAGGTGTAGGGCATGTCTGGGGCAGTAGCAGCTGGCCTGGTGTGCCTTAGAGGGTGAGATTCCATATTACAGTTGGGGAAACCGAGGCACAGAACGTTATATGCCCAAAGGTTTATAGTCTAGAAGTGGGGTGTGAATCCGGCCTGACACCGGGCCTGTGCTCCTCACTGCTACACTGAGGTGTCCATGCACGCCGGTGGTTGATATCGAGGGGATATCGAGGCCAGGGATGGGGGGTGGGGCAGGTGGAGGTTCTTGCCCAAGGCCACACAACCGACTGGTGATAGATAGAGCCTGGGCTGGACGGGCTCTTTCCAACTCAGCAACCTGGCCAAGGAGGGGACAGACAGCTCCGTCTTCAGGCCGAGTGAAAGCCTGGGGCCTTGGGCATGTAAAGGAAAGTTCCCACGACCCCTTAGGGTGTCTTACCTTTCCTGGCCCAGAGCCCGGGGAAGGAGGGCCCCAGAGCCCGGGAAGGAGGGCCCCAGAGCCGTCTGCTGCCCGCCGAGCCACGGGAGTTAATAATTACGGGGTTTCAGGAGATAGAGGCCTGCTGGGAGGGGCCTCCCTCCTGGGCTGCTGCTTCTCAGAGATAGCAAAGGTTAGCGTGAGGCTCAGCCCAGGGGTGGGGGAGAAGGGCTTCTGCTGCTCGCCTGCTTGGCAGTCTCCGGAGGGACCTTCAGGCTGGCCCTGGCAATGGATGCCCCCAAGGAGCACACCAGGTGTCCTGCCCGAGGGACATGCCCCGTGTTCCTGGCAATGAGCTCGGGGGCTGTCCGCTACGCTCCATCGGTTCTGGGACCTGCCCTTGACGGGAACTTGGGAGAGGAGCCTTGGGACCCAGACAGGTGAGCTAGTGACCTTGATCATAGAGGGGAGGGGAGGAGGATTCTTGCCACTCTGCAGGGGCACTGGGGAGGAGGGGGTGAGAGGCCAGGCTCCTGACGGGGGGACTGGCATGGAATCATGAGGGATTTCATGAGCCTCCTACAAGGTCAGTTGCCAAGGGGTGACCCTGATTCTCTAACTTGGTGGTTGTACAGACACAGAATCTGAGGCTCAGAGAGGGCAAGGCACATCTCCTGGGTCACACAGTGAGCTGAGGAGAGACCTAAGTTCAGAATCAGGGCCTGGGTCATCCAGGCCGGCAGTTTCCTGCTCATCTGTTTCCAGCCAAGGGTCTGTGGTCAGGGCTGTCAGGTGGGGATGGGGATGGCAGGGAGGAGGGTGGGGAAGGGCAGTGTTTTAAAGGCAGAGGACACACCTTTCACTTCTCCCTCCCCTCCAGCTGGCCAGGCCTCTCCTAGGCTCCCGGTTTGTTGTCTGACTGCACGTAGCTGCAGCCTCTAGTGAGTTCTCTGGCTTCTGGGCTGTCCTTCCAGAAAACTGGTGTAAGGGGTCTCAGCCCCATCACCCCTGGCTGTGTGATATCAAATAGGTTCCCGAACTTCTCTGAGCCTATCCTTTGCAGCTGAGGAGCAGAGCTCAATGGGCGGTGGGAGGAGCTAGTGAGACCCGGGAATCCACTGGATGACCACTGGATGTATAGATGACATGATGTTTTTGGGTAGTACTTGGGTGTCTGTGCTCCCAGAGTGGCGATCCCACATCTGTCCTTGGAGGCCTCGCTTAAGGGCCTCCACAGCCCACTAGCCATCCCCCCTCCTGCTAAGGACTCTTCCTCTGGGCTGACACCCTCTCCATGCCTTATCTCCCACCAGTCTGGGTTACCCTGACTTGGACCAGGTCTTATCTCCTGCCCAGGCTTATGAAGTCTTGGAGGGTAAAGGCCCTGTCCTGAGCTCTATTTGTGTCTTTTCCTCCTTCCTCTAAATAACGAACAGAGCACGTGTCGGGAAGACCACTGTTGCTCAACGCTTATTTGGTATAGAATTCACGTCAACAAACATGATGACATCTGCTTTGGGCCAGACTCTGGGATGGGCTGGGGTAGGTGGAGAAACACTGCACCGAGAAGGACCTGGTCCCTGCCCTTGAGAAACCACAGTCGGGGAAACAATTGCCCCACAGAGTGAAGGGCGTTGGAGGCCTGGGTAGAATGATTCTGGTAGGTCAGAAGGGATGTCACAGTGGCCTGCACAGGTTGTGCACTGCACGAGGTGCCAGCCAAGGGAGTGAGTGAGCAAGGCATGAAATCTAGCCTGCCCTCCACTCGCCAAGTCCTGTACCTTGGCATGGGCTGTGCCCACCTGGAAAAGCAGTACTGTTTTCTATTTTTGCCAAGGACACCATGCACTTAGCAAGGTGTGCCCTGGGCAAGCCGTGACCCTGGAAGTGGAAGTCCTTGTGAGTATGTCTCCCACCCCCCTTCTCCCTCCCATATCGGAGCCCCAGGATAATAGAGCATGCGTCTGCAATTTCCCTTTGGATCCCTAGCCCTTGTATGGTCCACAGTTTGTGTTCCGAAGGGGTACGTGAACGAAGGAACAAATGGATGAATGAAAGAAATGTGTGTCCCCAAATGAAGACCTGACAAATTCAAGCCTGTGGTTTCAGCTCTGTGGGCTCGGAAGAGTAGTGCCCTGAGTTCTGGTAGCTTCTGGAAGGGAAGCACCTCCTTCCTCCTGGCCTCCCAGGCCTCCCTAGACATGGAGGGTGGAA